CCAAACTCCTTAAAAATTCATAATTTTTAAGAATTTTGAACATCATAAAATATATACATTATATAAATAAAATAAAAATAATAGTATACTAGCTATAATTAAAATAATAGTTATAATTAAAATAAACAATTAAATGTTTGTAAAAATTTATAACAATACGTGATTGAAATATTACCGTTTCTTTTTGAGTTTCGTTAGGCTCTGGATTTTCTTTTTCTAATATTTCTTTTTTATCTAATATTTTTTGTATGGCATCACTGTAGCGCATTTTTTTAAAGACATAACGTTGTTTGTTATGTTTCAAGTCCTCTTCATTAGCTGCAAAGAATTACACATTAGTAAAAACGTAATAAAATCACATTATTTGCTGAAAAGAAGAAATACTTATTAGATGTATTCAGTAAAAGATTAGAATAAATAATACAATTATTGTTATAAGAGAAAGTAATATCAAAGCTACAAAAAATAAATTACAGAATCTTTTTACATAACACATACATAATACCAAGCTAGAATGGAGTATAACAAACAAAATGAAAAAAAATGAAAAAAATCAGTTTGTAGAAAAAAGTTTTAAAAGAAAACAAAGAATACCGCAAAAGATTTGAAGAAAAAAAGAAAAGTATTAACTTTTCACTTGAAATTAAAAGTTATTATAAGAATAAATTTTGTACATACTTCCTACTTCCATAATTTGAGCTGCGATCAAACTTTCTTCATTGGTTATAGTATTCAGTCTTTTTACAAAATATGGATCTTCATACTTATGCAGAACTGTAAAATCTTTTATTTTGTCAATAGAAATAATGTGGATTTTTTTGCTCTTATCATTGAAATAACGTACACTAGCAAATTTAATTTGTGTAATACCCTATAAAAAATATTTTTTAATTACATTTTCAAAACTTGAAAAACATTTTTAACTATCATAAGAAAATGATTCAAATGATATAGTATTACATATTTATATTATGATTAATATTGAATTCATTTTTAAATCATAAATAAAAACAAAATTAAATGTTTCTTACAACCCGGGAAAAAAAGTTTATATCCAGTTATATATAATTATATATAATTTTGTAGATATAATTATGTATGGATTTTGACCTAATCTAATTACATATAAACAGATAAAATTGTTTTTAATTATATATAATTAGATCGTATTATGCATACTTCATATATATCTATGATTAGATACAATTATATATTTTTACAATTATAATTAGATCTAATCTTTGATGGGTCTATTTTTGTACCATAGTAAATTAAAAAAACCAAAATATCGTCCCTCTCATGCCAAAACTATGAATGTGCACATTTTTTTCAACATTGTTTTTTTTTGTGAAATTATTTTATGCTACTTGATTTAGAATTTATATAGTTTTAAAGAATACCTAGAATACTTTAGATCTTAGGTACTTCTATGGTATCTTAGACTCTGAAACTCTGTAAATACAAAATCAAGTAGCATAAAATAAATTTTATAAAAAAAAACGAGGTTAAAAAAATTTGCACATTTATGGTTTTGACATTAGGGGAAAGTATTTTGATTTTTTTATTTACTACAAAAATAGACTCATCAAAGATTAGATTTGCATAAGGGAGACTTATCAGAGATTAGATTGCATAAGGGGGACGATATATTTTTACGAATAGATTATTTATTTATAATATTTATTAATTTATAAAAACAATCTCATATATAAAATATACTTATATATATAAAACAATATTCAGAATACTTAAATTTTTCAATAAAAGAAATAAAATAAATCAACATTATTATTATAATTTGCAATAGAGAGATTAATCTTTTTTCATGTATTGCAAACATGTGTAATGTGATGAATGTAGAAAGCACTTTGTCATACACGCGAAGAGAATATAGCGCAGACCTTTTGAAACGTATACAATAATAGAGTCAAAACGAAACAAAAACTATATTATTTAATACATTTGAAACTCGTATTCTTCTTAGTATTTTTAAGTTCCATTTATAGTCAATATATTATACTTTTAAATATATATTACATAAAAATAATTCAAATAAAATTAATAATCAAGTGCTTTTATAAATTTAAAAAAAAAACTGAAATATCTACGTAAACGATAAAAAAATTGTGTAAAAACGAGGTTACTCTCTTTACTCATTATTTCTTGCTTCTCTTTTTATTTCTCCAATCCTTTGTATTATAGCTCGATGTAAATCTTTTTTTGTTTGTATGATCCAACCATGTTTGGCCCCGTACTCAATAGAACAATCTGAAAACGTAATTTTATGAATTTAAAAAATCTATTACAAACTTTTTTATAATAAAAATTTTTATTTATTGTAATTTATTAAAAATTATAATAATGTAAAAAAATTATTACTTACCAACTATTGCTTTAATTGCAAAAGGATGTAAATATGAGATTTTAAGATTTTGTCGGTCTTTTCCTTGTGATCTAGGAGTTTGTCCAGTCAGAGTACAATTAATTAATGTTTCCTTTTTAAACACTCCCGTTAAAAGTCTTCTAGCTATCTGCGATGATCTATGAGAATTCCCTATTGCTGCATAATATATTATATTTCTACAATAGAAATTATCCTTTAAGTGTACCATCTGCAATCAATTTTCTTATGTTTAATAATTTACAGTATGATTTTGCATTTATTAATCATGAAATTCAATTAAAAATTAAATTAATATTTACTGTACAATAAATAATCCCATTTATGCCCGATTTCACCAACGTAGATTAACTATATAATCTTAGTTTAACTTGCTCTTCATCTTTTTCTAATTCTTTGAACTAGAAAAAGATGAAAGTTAAACTAATGAGATTAAAGTTAATCTATATTGATAAATCGAGCATTAGAATATTTACCTTAGCCTCGAAGTTTTTTCCATATAACTGAGTATTTGTAGCTTCAAATTGTTCTATTTCAATATCATTATCTTTAAGATTTTCTATATTATCATCAACATTCTCTAAAGGTATTTATACTATCATCAGCATTCTCCAAAGGATTTATATTATCATCAAC